TTGCCCGGCGCAGTACGTCACACAGGGGCGGGAGCCAATGGCAAGCGGCGAAGGTGTGAGGGCGGGGCCTTTTCTTGAAGAGAGGGCCTTTTGTGGCTACACACACATTCATCAATGGGAGGCAGCAAGGACGGGGAGGCTCTGCTCACCCCTTGGAGTAGCTAGGAACAGCGGCCAAAAAGAGGGCGGAAAGGCGTCTGGTTTCGTACCGATAGGGGACAGAGGGCACTTGGGCTGTCCTCTTTGATGGCCGCCCTACCTGACGGAGTCCGAGGGGACCAGCCGACCTCACCTGTTCTGCCCCCGAAGCGCCTGCCGGCGTGCAAGGCCTTGCAACAGGCCCAGGCAGGGCTTCGGGTCCTCGGGACGCCAAGCCTGTGGCGTGCCTGGGAGCCCCTGACTTGTGCCGGCAGAGCGAGCCGTGAAGGCCCGGCTTGCAGGGTTGGGGAAGCTCCCCAGGCCTGGAAAAAGGAGCCAAGACTTAACAGAGGGGCAGTGAAAGCACATGGCCTCTGCCCTGGCGAAGAGAGACTGCCCCAAACAGCTCTGCAGCCTCCCGGTTCAGCGCAGCGGGCGTAGCCACGCTCCAGGCTGGGCCGTCGTGTGCCCCTGCGCTCTCCTCTGCCCCCTTCGTTACCCAGCGTGTGCTCATGTTCCACCCCAGAGGTGGCTGCATCATTTGGTGGGAGCACATCCTAGCCGTGCCCTTCTAAACGTTTCCATTGCTTTCTACAAGAGCTCGGTGACATGCAGCGCTCCCGTCCCGTCAGTGGAATATCCCGTGACCTTCAGCCGCCCCCGTTCCCGGGTGTTTGGAAAGTTCCTGGTTTTTGTTGGGGGGGGGAGGTAAATGATTAGTAGAATCCGACCACGAGTGAGTGTATTTGAGCGTCCTGCTAGGGATGCAGTAGGAGTCTGAGTCACCAGAAGGAACAGATTGGCCTTTGCACCATAGAAATCGGTGTGGCACTGTGTTACTAGAGGTGACTGACATGCCAGGTCCAAATACTGACCATGGCACAAGTGCAGTAGAGCAAAGAAATGTTCACTCTAGATGGGATTGGGGATTTCTTTGCACTGTTCAAACCCTGTTGCCACCAAGAGGCTGACAAGAGGTTTGGGAAATGCGTAGCCTTCCGCCTCAGCTTCTAAGGAGGATGCGAAGCCAAGGCTGTGAGTGTAGTGGAGCAAAGCAGAGGTCTTCCCATATTAATAGGAGTTGTGATCTGACATCCCCTGAATACGCTGTATAGCCCTTCGACAGTGTTAGAGCCAACCTGGTGTTGTGCCCGCTACCACTGCATTTGTAGGTCTCTGTATTGCTCATGAGGTTCAACAAGGACAAGTGCAAAGTCCTGCACTGAGGACAGAGCAATCCCATGCACCGGTACAGGCCGGGGGCTGACTGGCTGGGCAGCAGCTCAGCAGAAAAGGACCTGGGGGTTACAGCGGACAATAAAGTGAATATGAGCCAGCAGTGTGCCCTTGTTGCAAAAAAGGCTAACAGCATCCTGGGCTGCACTGGTAGAAGTGTTGCCAGCAGATCAAGGGAAGTGATTATTCCCCTCTATTCAGCACTGGTGAGGCCACATTTGGAGTACTGTGTCCAGTTTTGGGCTTCCCATTACAGAAAGGATGTGGACAAATTGGAGAGGGTCCAGCAGAGGGCAACAAAAATGGTGAGGAGGTTGGGGGACATGACTCGTGAGGAAATGCAGGGAGTCGGACTCGATGATCTATTGAGGTCCCTTCCGACCCTAACATCTATGAATCTATGAGAGACCAGGGGAACTGGGCTTATTTAGTCTAGAGAAAAGGAAACTGAGAAGGGATTTAATAGCAGCCTTCAACTACCTGAAGGGGGGTTCAAAAGTGGATGGAGGGGGACTGTTCTTTTCAGTGGTGACATGACATAAGAAGGAGCAACGTGGACTGTTGTTCTCAGTGGTGACATGACATAAGAAGGAGCAACGGTCTCAAGTGGCAGCAAGAGAAGTTTCCATTAGATATTAGGAAACATTTTCTCACTAGGAGGGTAGTAAAACACTGGAACAGGCTACTCAGAGAGGTGGTGGAAGCTCATGCTTGGAAGTTTTCAAGACCCGACTAGACAAAGCTTTGGCTGGGATGATCTAGATGGGGGATGGTCCTGCTTTGAGCAGGGGTTGGAGTAGATGTGACCTCCTGAGGTCCTTTCCAACTCCTGTTTTCTATGATTCTGTGATTGCTATTAAGAATCCTGCTGCTTTTGTTCCGAGTAGCCTTCTAGAGCCCAATCACTCAGCTTCTAGGCTTTACTCAGGTCAATGTGACCTTGTGGGATTGTGTCCTAGTTATTCATATCTCTTGGACAACTGGTGTTTGTGGTAGCTGAAGAAACAAGTGACAAGCGTACAGGGTTTTGGTGAATTTGCAAAGCATCACTGTTTATTAATTTAGAATGAATGCAACAAACACAAAGCCTACACGGCATAATTTCCAGACATTCAGAACGGTTCCTTTTGGGCCTCCATCATCTCCCTCAGCTTCTCGATCTGTGCATTCACGCTGCTCTTGGCAGTGCCACCAGGGGCAGTGTACTGCTCCACGCTGTTGACATAGTCCCACACCTGGGACACGTCGCTTGCAAA